CTCGCTCCTCTGTAACTGTAGCTGGTCAAATGCTGATTTGAAGAGGATGTCCGCTGAGCTGCCCGAATCTACGAGTACGCGTCTGACCTCGAAGTCGCAGATCCTTAGTTTAATGACAAGCGCGTCATCGTGGGGTAGTGGACCCCTCGCGCGTCATCTTCCGTGAAGAAGATTGGTTCTTCGGTCTTTGGTCTTTTTGGGGGTTCCGTTCCTCGAGGGCCGCTTCGCGAACTGAATTTCGGGCTACTGCCGAGGTACACCCTGCTACCACCGAACCTCCCATGAACTTGTCCCGAGCTTAAGGAATTCGGCCACGGTTGCGGGCTGGTTAGCTACCATGTGCCATTTGAACTCTTTGTGCATTACTCCTCTTTTGGCCACTGCGAGCTGCACCGCAGGGTCTAACCGCGATATCTGCAAGCACGCTTCATTGAATCACTTGATGTAGCCCCGGATGGATTCTCCTTCCCTCTGAACTACCCCAAAGATGCTTTCCTCTATTCTGGGGCACCGTTTGCTGGTGACACAGTGCGCGGTGAAGACCTGCACGAACTGAGCCCAACACTTTATCGATCTGGGGGCCAGGTTCCTGTACCAAGTGCGGGCTACCCCCCTGAAGGTGGTGGTGGAGGCCACGCACATGCACGGTTCGCTGGCCCTGGCGAGGTGCATTTGGGACTGGAAGGTGTCAACGTGGTCGTTGGGGTCGAAGGACCCGTCATACTTGTCCAAAGGTGGGAGCTTGAAATCTCTGGGCAAGGGGACCGCCAGGAGTTCTGATGCGAGGGGGGAAGGAACTGAGAGAATCGGGGCARYTCCTACCTYGTYCGAGCTCRTCTCTTCTTTGCCTCTGAGCTCTGACAAGACACGGGTGGCAGTTCGGCGACTTCGCCGGCGCCTCCGTTGTTGAGTGGGCCTGGTATTGGTGCTGCTGGCCTCCATGTTGCCGAGCTCGATGGGCCCGGAATGCTGGTAGTCTACTGTCAGGGCACCGAATCGGTTTTCCATGAGCGGGAACTCGGGCTTGGAGCGCCGAGGTGCCGATCTTGCGGGCGAGGTTCCCGAACCGCCTGCGAGCTGCAAGGCGGGGATGATTTTTCTCTCTCTTCGGCCTGGGGACGAGGCCTGGCTGTTAGGGGGGTTCTGGGGCCGGGAGGCCTTTCCTTGGTGGGGGTGTCCATCCTGCGGGGTGGCCTTAATCGGTCTCGGAGCAGGGTGCCGAGGTGGAAGTAGTGGTTGGTTCAGCGGTAGTTGGGGGAACTGCTGTTGATAGTGATACTGGGAGATGTTGTGCAGTACTTGGTGCTGATGAA